CCCCGTCGACGATCGTCACGGCGGTCATCGCGGCGGCGATAGCTGCCCCACGCGCCACCGCCTTGACCTTGGCCGTAATCACGACGACCGCCCTCTTCGTGGCGACCGCCCTCCTGAGCAGCCTGAGCAGCTTGATCACCCCAGGTAGCCATTGCGTGGAGCTTCCCAGGCCCTAGATCTGACTGCTGCCACCACAAAAAGATCCTTCACGGATCCGAGATGGTCGTCTCGACCCAAAATGGCCACGATAAACGTGGTTGATCAAACACTGAAAAGTGCATGCTGAGAACGTGCTGCAGTGTGACCCTCCTATACCAGACCAACCTCACCGATTATAGGAGAACGTCCTCGGGCATGCCCGGACACTCACACAATGACCAACAAGGCAGCTGCACTCGTCTCCATCATCCACTCCTGCCAGCAGCGGCCTTCTGCAATAGCAGGGAGCCAACGCAGATCGATGCTGGTTCTGTGTGCGGACCTCAGCACCTCTCGCACGTCCGCGTAGGCCAAATGCCATTCTGTGCCTGCCCAGCGCAAACCCGCCACCGGTCCGTCCCTCTTCAGTCCACAATGCCGGAACTGGAGAAATCAGAAGAACATCACAACAGCCCGCTCAAACTGCACTGCAATTACCTTTTCCACATCTTGTGTGCGTCTATCTCAGGCTAACTAACACTAACACTTGGCTGGCTTTCAGTGCAGGTAGCCTCAGACCATGAACCAAAAGGTTGGCCAGACATCCGATGAATGCGTGAGGCGGGAGGTGGGACGCTGAGAAAGCGGCGCCGACGGTGGTCTACCTGAAGATTCATCAAGCATGTCGCAGACCCGCACGGAGTTATGACGGTTTCCGATACTGCTGGCCTTCGGTGGCGGGTCTAGCGATGCCGCGTACCAAGCTGGTAGTTTTGGAAAGACAAGGAGACCGAACATCACCTCACATCATGGCCCAGGTCTCTCTCTCGGCTCCATCCTTGCTCAGATTCTTCGGCCCAGCTAGGCCTAGGGCCGTAGGGGCAAAGAGGCCGTACCAGGCAACGCTGTGCGAGGTGCCGACCACTGCCTTCCGAGAGCGCGAGAATATTCTGCCAAAGCAGCAGGGGTGCTGAAAGGCTTTCCAGTCGGGGCAGCGGCTACGTAGACGAAGGCACCCAGGCCAAGGCTCAGCACGCAAAACCTGGAGTCGTTTGGAGAAGCAGAGTTTCAGGACATGTAACGAAGACCATCTCCCACTTTTTTGGGCGATTTCAAAAACCTCGTGGGCGGCTTGCAGCATCTTGCAGCAAGCGCCCCCTGGCTCGACTCCCCCTTCCAAGGTCACGACGGGTCCGCAGGGTACAGGAGCCAGTGGGCGGTGCAAACGAAGCTGGCGGACGTCACCAGCCCCGCACAAAGTCTGGTGAGGAATGGGCTGGTCGGCCTCAAGCACACTTTTTGGAAGTGACCTGTGACACAAGTCTGCAAAGAAAAGTTTCTGCGACAGAACTGCCATGAGAGATGCACTTTGCGGGGGGGAAGACAGCCTTGCACTTGAAATCTCGCCTGGCTAATCCTCAACCTGCAAACATCCAGCAGAGCAGGCCTCATCAGGAGAGCCATCAGGGTGGCAGCCCCCTGGGTGCTTCCACCTAGACTTTGTTCGCTGGTCTGGTGGTGCAAAAAAGTAATGGCTGCAGTCACAGCAAAGAAGCACAAGCTTTTCCTACTTATGGCTCTGTTTGTGCTTTCTCTCCACGACACAATCCTGTGGGGAGCACCTTTCACGGATCTTAGCCGTTGGCATTTCTATTGGTGCTGGGGTGCCCATGGCAGGTTCAACATCGCAGACAGGCCAGAGAGCATCGCTGGGATGCTGGCCAGTTTCACGAAAGATGTGTGTCACCTGCTGCGCCTGCAGAGCGCCATGAAGGCTCGTGCTCACAATACCAATACAGCCCCAACAAACCTCGGTACAGCACTTCCAAGAAGGCCAGAAAGCTACTCCAACCCGCTCGAAAGTCGTAGCAGCCTCAACCCTCGGCATCCATCGCAAGATTTGTACCTTCGGCCCCTTGCCTGTGCTCGCAGCCGTTGCCCCTCGATGACGGCTGCACGCTTCTGCTCCACCAGGGCCGTGCGATATTTCTCCTCATTTCAGAGCTCTGATTCTGATTAAACTTGACAAAACCTGAAGTCGACGGCATCGTCGTCGTAATCGTCGTCGCAATTGTAGTCGTAGTCTAGTCGTGGTATGTCGTAGTCGTAATGGTCGTAGTCGCAGTGGTGGTAGTGATCGTCGTCGTGGTAGTGGTACTGGTAGTCCTGGTAGTGGTAATGGTAGTGGTAGTCGTTGTTGTCATCGTTGTCCTCCTCCTAGTAGTAGTAGTAGTAGTAGTAGTAGTAGTAGTAGCAGCAGTAGCAGCAGTGGCAGTAGGAGTAGGAGTAGGAGTAGGAGTAGGAGTAGGAGTAGTAGTAGTAGTAGTAGTAGTAGTAGTAGCAGTAGTACTCGTGGAGGTTGTGGTGGTGGTGGTGGGGGTGGTGGTGGTGGTGGCGGCGGCCTTAGCAGCAATGGCAGAAGTGGTCGTCGTAGTCGCAGTCGTCAGTCGTCGCTGTTCTCAGCTCATGCTGCATGCTCCATGACTTGTCACAAGGCTGTAAGCTGTTGAGCAAACTCTGGTGTCAGCCTCCTGGTTGCCTGAGCTTGACCACCGCACAGTCAGGATGCGACTGCAGGCGTGCCGGCCATACCTCGGCATTCTCGAATGGGCCTTCTGCGAGATGGCCCAGCTGTTGATGGAACTTGCGTTCTTGTCAGTTAGGGCAGCAGCAATGGCCGCCAGATGCGCGGCTGCAGCGAGGCCGCCATGTGTGGGGTTTGCTTTTGAAGACAGCACCTTATGAACCTAATGTGTGATGACAACGAACGTCTTCTAGCAATCATCTGCTTGGGAAGCCAGACTTTGTCATGCCAAGTTTTCCATTGAACCGACAGGAACAATCGCGAAGAGGGGCACTTGCCAGCTCATGACGACATCTTGGGCTTGTAAGGAAACATGGAACGCTCATCGGCAAGGCCTGGGTGACTTGAGTGCCACTTGGACCAATGGCTTTCGTAGTCACTTGCCTTAGATTTGCACTGCTAAATGCAACTCCGGGATCAGAGTAGGAAGACTGAGCCTCCCGCACCTGCAGCTGCACCATCCATTGAGCCATGGGATCACTTCGCTCTACAACTCCACAAATCGGCAGGCAGCATCTACCATGGGCTCTGCAGTGCACTGCTTCTGGCTCATTCAAACTCGTTGTGGCACTGCGCGAGGAGCGCTACTTCAAGGTTGCAAGCTGTGGCTGAGCTTCCTAATCTCCAAAGCTCCTCCGAGCGACAGCCGAGGCATCATGCTTGGCTGCTTGCGCAGAAGGAGCTGCGGCAGCTGCAAGTTCCAGCGACGGCGGCTCACACATCCCTCCGACCCAGGGTCTGAGCCAAGTCAAGGTTCGGCGTGTGCATCTTTGACTTCCAAACCCGTGCAGTTGGCCAATCTAGCTTTCACTGTACAGCAGCTTCGGATGTGCAGCGAAATCGCTTCTCGATCTCCGCAAGCACCCACCGACTGGCCCGACTGATCTAGCACAAGACGGTATCGAATCCGGTGCGACGACTTTTCGGATGAGACTGCATCTCCCGGACATATTCGCATGGCACTCTCAGATGTACTACTGTGCGGACCTAGAAGCCGGCTTTGCCTGGTTTATGCTTTACCTTTCGGGGTCAGGGGAGCTTGGAACACGCACGATGATCAAGCGCCACGATGCATCACTGCATCGCGGGACGCCGCGCTCGCGGATGCCCGTGTCTTCTATCGTGTCCTAGAAAAATTCAATCCATATTGCGAGAGGCGTGGATACATACGGGTACTTCTCTAAACTAGGGTCCCTGTTTAGGTTCCAAAATAATACGGCAACCTTATAAAAAAGGACCCTAAAGTCAAGTGCCCATGTATGTGTGTATCTGTCTCTATCGATGTACCTACCCACCTACCTACCCACCCACCCACCCACCCACCCACCTACCTACCTACCTACCTACCTACCTACCTACCTACCTGCCTATCTACCTATGTACCTATCTTTTACCTATCTAGTATCTATGTATCTATCTATCTTCTCTACATTTCAACCTGTCTGTCGACAGAGATGTGCATGTGTAAACACATAGCTATGAACTACAAGTACGCAGTATGCATATCTACACTACTTCATCTGCTGCGTCATGCGCAATGGCAGGTTGGAACTCAGTCTGCATATGCCTGGGAGGTTCACTGTACAACACATCGAGAAGTCTGTCTATCGTAGCCGATCAGCAACCGCTGCTCCTGAGGCTTCCACGTCAGGTTCACAACATAGCAGAAATCCATATCATCAGAACCCCAAAAAACTGTGTCCAAGTAGTTACGAAAACCTCGAATTCTCTTCACAGGCAGCAATGAGCCTTGGAGATCGTCTCTGGGTCTTTTTGCGTTGTGCTCGGCAACGCAGGTCCCCCAGACACAAACCTTGACAGATTTTGACACAGCTAGTACAGTAGGATTTAGGGTCGTTGCTGGGACGATGCAGGTTCAAGCTTTGGGATGACTTGAGGGTTTAGGGCCTAAAGTTTAGGGCTGAGGGCTGAGGGCTAGGATAGGGCACCCGAAATGCTCAAGAGCCAGGCTACGCTGCAAGGTGCCGCGAACTAAACAAGCGCAGAAGCGCGCAGGAGCAGAAGTTACTGATTTGTCCAAGGCACTTGTGGGGCCAGTGACTCGTGCTACCGTTGTTAACGAAAGCATCCTTCCGTTTTTCGATCACATCGGCTGATGCAAACTTGCGCGGCGTCATACAAACCTGAGCCACTTAGAAGATCGACAGGGATCCTACTAGCAGAGCACATGCCGGACTGATCGACTGACCATATCCATACCGAGCCAGGATTCATAACCCACCTGGCGAATGGGTTGCCAACCTTCTTGCGGAGGTGTGCTTTCGATCCAAGCGTCCTCAGGGAGACACGCTGATCCCACTGCCCTTTCCGGACCCCTTTTTCCGGGCACCCGAATCGCGCAGCGCACACGAGCGCCTGCAAAGCTGTCAGAGCCGGTGTGTTGCAGTGAACCTGACATCTTGAATCATTGAATCTGACATGATTTGCGCTCAGAAAAGAGCTCCACAGAACATATTGTGACATGCTTTCCTTGACATTTCCTTGACTGCCTGTTGCCCTGTCCTCCATACTCAGGCAAGGTGCTGTGCGCGAATCCCACAACAACAAGTCGCCCGCTTGGGCACGCAGCAGCACGCCGCCCTGCACAGGCAACTTCATCGCTCGACTGGCCCCTAGTACTCAAAGCACCTCTTCAATCGAAATAAAGCCTCCAACCCTAAACCTTATAAAACCCTATAAGCCCTATAAACCCTATAAACCCTATAAACCCTATTAACAACCTTTTTTCAATAGGACTCGATTTGAAGACACGCAGGCGCCATGCAGAGCTACATCGGCCTGGCTCAAGATCGGATCGTCTACTGCAATGGGCACAAAGTCACCACTCCGCTTTGCCAAAGCACCTTGCCGCATCTGGCCAGCAACGACATGTATGGACAAGAATTGCAGAGAGCTAAGCAGTCCTGGATCCTTGTGGTGCTGGGAGCAGCATCGAGTTTGCTCAAAGGCGTGCAAGATAAGCGGCATAAACAACCAGACAACGAGCACGATCCGAGCAAGGGAAACCCTAACTACTACATGCAAGGAGGGCTTGCAAAACTACATGTCGGCATAGCTTTAAGCGCACAGTCGGCGCCCAACAACCAAAAAGTGCCTAAGCTCAGCATTCTTTGCAGAGCAGGCACTCCGCCTGCAGATTTCTTCATGGTGGCGGTGGCTGCCAGGAATGACGACAAGGCCACCGGTATCCGCAGCGGCGTCGAAAAGAGTGACAAGCCCCTGTATGCAAACTTTGCCCTGGCTGTCCTTGAACCGTGCGTTCTGGTCGCAGTGATACCAACCTGCTCATCCGACTCCCAAATGAACCCGACAACCCGAAATGCAACACGCCGGGAGCCGAAAGCACATCAAATCATCTGACAAAAAGGCGTTCCGAAGCTCCCCTCTTCGCCTCCTGATGTCAGCCATGACCTTTTGTATTTCCACGGCCGAAAAATATTTCCACCGTCAAAGGACACCAGCAGATCGTCGGTGCTCCAAATTGCCGCGAAAGCCGCCTTTCCGAGGTTTAGGAAAACGACTTTCAAAGGGAGGGATAGGAGAGAGAGAGAGAGAGAGAGAGACCAAGACAGGGAAGTGATGCACGTATGTATTTATGTATGTATGCGGCCTAGCTACTTGATCTTGTAACGCTAACACTATTCCCGCAAATACGAGCTCAATCTGTCACCGTAGTTTCGGCTACAGTACACGCGTCCGTCGTGATGTTTGAAGTTCTCTGTCGCGCTGTTAGACTATACTGTGCCACCTACTTAATTGTGTGTTTTTGCGTATGTGTAGTCTGCCCTTGAGTCTGCCAAGACAAGCAGTCAGAATGAATGCAAGCACACATGCCTTGACACGTGGCAGCAGCCGCAAATGCCACATGAAGTCTGACTGGCCAAATCCGAAACCGTGGACGATCCCGTTGGCAGGATTCGGAATCCAGTCATACCTCATCTTGTCCAGAATCCCAAACCACAAGCACGAACATCAGAAAGATGGCCGTACTATCCTGCCCAACTGAAACATGGAGCTTATCGTCCCACGTCCGCACATCGTCACGCCGTACCCGTGTGCACGGCAAGGCCTTGCGAACCAAGAAGCACAGCTGCAAACGAACGTCCACACGCCTCTAGCTAGCACACAATAACGGCTCCTGGACACCTTCTCGAAACCTAGCAGGACTTACCGAGCATGCCGGTGGAAAGCACAGGCCGCTGAAGCCGCACCTCGAGGAAATCCCACATCAAGGACCGAGCTGTCGCTAACTCTGCATCATCAGCAACACTTGCCACTACCTCCGCATCGCTGGTTCGAGGCTCCATGCAAGCTTCTGTGATTGCAACAACAAAACACAGACCGCAGCAGCAACGGCCGTTGCAGAGCTAAGCCAGGCTGCTGCATATCCATGCTCTTCCAGGTAGTCAGACAGCAGGTGCCTCATGTTAGGTCAACCAGTAGCTCAAGCAGTGACACACGTGTCCAGCCGACGATCTCAGCTTCCACACATTCAGGTAGGCACAGCTAACAATGACGCCGATCGCGAACAGTCCCACCAACATGTTCGGTAGCTGGCAAAGCAGACTATGTTTAAACTACTGTCGGTCAAACAGAGACGCACTAATAACTAGCGACTAATGAATCCATGCGGGTTTTTCCAAGGTCAGCCGAGTGGCTTTTCCGTCTCTACGTCAAATCGTGGAGGCACAACTTCTACCACAGGAATAGCAGGAACGTCAGCATCCATGGCAGGAAAAGCTCCATAGCTTCAAGTCTGCACTTCGTCTTAAGTCTGGAATCTGGGAGTGACTTACATGGGCCTTACAAGCTGAAGAGTCTCAAGGCGACAGCGCGCCTCTGTCGTGTAAAGAACGGGATGCGCATCCTAAACTTGCAGCACACCTGTACAACATGCGCTTAGTTGCCCATTGGCTGGCTGGGTTCAGCAGAGCTGAACAATGCAGCGGTCGGTCGAACAGGCACTGCGCACATGGACCGTCAGTTCCTCCACGACTTCGAATCGCTACTCCATACCCCGGCCATTTCCATCTCTCAAAGCTCGTCAAGCTTTGTCTGTTGCATGCTTTCTGCTTCACCGAGAAATTCAGCCACTGAAATATGGCCTGCCTGAGCCAACGGGACGGGGCCGTATACTGTGCTATGCTATGCCATCCGGACCTATCCTGGTGCCATGCTATTGCTACTATTGCTGTTGCTGTTGCCATTGCTGTTCCATTCTAACCTCCCAAGCTCACTTTGGCTATGCCCGTGCATCCACCTTCATACTCTGCTGATCACGCGTGCACGTCATCTTCATCATGTGCTGTCGCCATCCAGTCATGCCTGGAACCCTACAGCTAGAACATCCAATTGCATCGGTGACTTCTTCTGGTGTGAACGGTGTTACTCTACCCGGCTTCATGCGGAGGTCTGACCCGGTGAGCGGGCCACAGGACAGGAAAGGCAAAACTTGGGATTGCGAGTAGCCTCTTTCATGCACAGCCCTGTCCCAACACTACGAAGCATGTTACTGGTAGAGACTGGGCCAATCAGAACAACGCATGTAGAACGAACCATACCAGCATCAAATAATTCGCGAGGACTCAAGTGAGCCCAAAGGCCTACACTCAAAACCCCTCAGCCCAAACGAAGCCGAACCCCTCACCACTCAATCCTTAAACCTAAACCCCAAACACCTGGAGCCCAAGCCTTGCCTGAAGCCTTGTCCTTTCAGATTTCACCCTAGATCCCCCTTTTTTGAGTCACGGTCTGGGGCCGCCCACTTTGCAGAAACCCCCTAATTCAACTTTGAAGCTCTCAACCCCAAAACCTTTTAGAAAACCCCGAGCCCCAGCTATTGCCTTGGTGGCCCTCTCCACCGCCGTCTCCTTGTTCCGCGAGGCTGCTCTCGGGACGGCTCGAGCACGGAGCCTCGGCCAAGAAACTGCTGCCGTTTTGTACTTCAGTAAACTATACTATATCCTACGGTTGATAATATAAATCCTGCATTGCCCATAATAAGGACTATACCATAATTCCCATAGTGTGCTGTCCTTAAGGTAATGCAGGGTTTGAATCATCAACAGTATGTTACACTATATATGACATACTAGTATACGACAGCACTGTGCACGATGATATTGTGCTATATAGTAAACTGTAATATATCGTACTGGATTTTGGAGTGTTTATAATATGTGTGTTGGGATTCGCGATTAAGGCTTCTGGGTCTTGTCAAGGCCTTTGGAGTTGTTTGCAAAAGACGGGTTTATATGCGGCACACATAACTACGGATGGATGTCGTTCATACGAGAGAATCAACATCTAATGCACGATTCTAAAAAATCATGACAAATATTCTGGGGATCGAGGGTGATCAGGTCTGAGGGTGTTCAGGGTTTTTGGGCTGCAGTGTGGTTGAGGATTCGGGTGCCAAGACTCGCACACTCCAGACGGGTTTTGCGGTTTCGACTCTAAAACATACTATGATCTATGACCATGTAGCAGTATATGCCATAGTATACTCCGAATACTGTAGCATTTCGCATACAGGGCCCGGAAGAGATTGCTTTTGCAATAAAGGGTCTTGCAGGAGCATCTTATCAAGGGATCAAGGATCAGGAGAGTAGAATAGCATGCTGAGGAAGAGCCTGGTATACTGAAAGTATATGCTGGCATATTATACGGTGTCTAGATGTGTCTAGCATACCAAACCAAATCTAGTAACTATTTTTCTCTATGCTCTACTAAATTGTAGTCGTTTCATATAGTAGGTTCAATTTTACTTGCTAGCTTCTCGGTTCTCCTAGCTTTAAGTGTATTGTATCATACTGTGCTACATGTCCCATGTCTCTCTTCCCAAAAGGATCCATCGGAGCCGAGGAGCAGGAGTCCCGCTGCCTCCTGGTCATTACTCAGTCTGACATGGGCCATAGTTCTGGTTTCGAGCTCACAACTCGGACAGTCTGGCGAGGCATGTATCAATAGCCGGCTTGGTGACGGCATATTGTGGTCAACGAAGACAGCTCTCAATACCATGCAACCTGCTAGAAGGCACACGTGTGCCCATCCAGGCAGAGATTCTCTACATCGGGCTATCCTTGTTTAGAACCTCTGCCACTGCCAACAAGACAACTCCGGTAGCTTGAGTTTAGGGTTTCGACTCTCGCAACTCGCGCAAGGCAAGCAAGGCTTCACAACGACTGGTCTCAGAGAAGCATCAGCAAGATGCGGCGTTCAAAACAAGACCCGACAACAAATGCACAAGCAATATCAACCAATACTTCGGTTTTTTCATAAAGACCCAGGGGGAGCCCCCCACATTTCCACCCCCAGATATAGGCCCAGATAGGTTTTTTATATAAGAAAGGTTTAAGGGCTATTAAGGTTTATTAAAGCTTAATAAGGGTTTGTTAGGGCTTATTAAGGTTTAATAAAGCTTAATAGGGGCTTATTCTTGGCAAGGGTCTTGGTGAGAATTATATTGCCCTTCGGAGGGGATGTATAAGCAAGAAGCTTCTGCTCAGGGCCAATAAAGCTTAATAAGGGAGATTTGTGTTGCTAGTAGGTTCAGGTCGCAAGCTAGAATCCGTCTTCAGCTGCTGTGCGAGTGACTTAAAGACTTTCAGTTTGCACGCGCGCCC